TCTTCCCCCCTGCCCTGCGATTCCAGAGATTCAACTTCAACCTGCTCCAGATGATGAAGAGGACGAAGAAATCGATGTCGTCGATTTGCTGCCGCCGATAATGCCAGAGCCCGCTCCGGCGACTCCGTTGCCTTATTACCATCCCGGAGATTTATTGTGGTCGAAAGTTGGCAGCTTTTCGTTCTGGCCCTGCATGGTCATCGAAGACCCCATAAAGAACCAATACTTCAAAGTGTCGCGGAACCATATCGTGTACTACGTGCAGTACTTCGGAATCGAAGTCAAACATGGTTGGACCGGGAGTCCGCATCGAGTAGTTCCTTACTGTGGTCTGGACGCCTTCAGACATTTCGCCGAAGAAAAAGCCGGTGCGAACAAGAGCTTGCGGAAGTTCTACAACGTGGACATGAAGCGATTAAAAGACATGGAGCTGAATTGGATCCAAGCCTTGAAAGAGGTCGACGAGGCCGAGAAGATTGTACCGAACTCGGTACGGTACCAGGCGCTCAGGTTCGACTTTTATTCACCACCGAGCAAGAAGAAAAGCGTCAAAAGTTCTTCGGCCGGAGGCGCGTCAACCTCCAAATCCAGCTCTGGGTCCGAGCCTCGTCTCGCTCCTGTCAATAACCCTCAGAAGGACACAGGAGCAGCACCTTGTCCAGCCCTCCAGAAAGCGGGAGCGGCCATGAGGAAAATCGATTTTAATAATAACAATAACACTGGAGGGCTTCCCTGACCCTTGTGAGTTGAATGATTTTATACAGAGCTTCACACAAATCTATTCAACAAGAACCGGAAGAGATAGTCGTATGAGGCTCGGATCAAGGACTCAATTATAGTGTATGATTTTCTCTGGAGGGCCTCGACGAAGCGAATGAGCACGACTTCTAATAAATACTGCCGGTGGGTGCTTCCCCGAATATTGGGAACATCTCGAGTGCAACACTTGTCCCAAAAAAAAATTACGGCGTCCATTGCCCCGCGATCCGCCGTAATACGTAAAGGACGCGCAAGCGGAGGAGTATCCATCTACTACAACGAAAAAATTGGGAAGATGGAACCCGTACACAATGAGGATAACTGCATAGTTGTCAAGGGCGAAACCGTGGACATTATTGCCATTGGAGATTAGGGAATCTCAAACTCTGTCGATATTTAAACGCTCTCTCAAAAAACATATTCTGTCGGTGTAATATATTCTGTTGTCATCACTATCCTTGTTCATTGCGGCCATGTGCCTGTGGGATTATTCTCGTAATGTAGTAGTAATTAAATAAATAAATAAATTTATGTGAGACCACCCACTTCCGAGAGCACTACAGTCATGGTCGAGAAACTGGAGAGATGCCTCCATATGACGTGTGGAAACGGGAAGACGATCCTCGCCGGCGACTTCAACGCGAGACTAGACAAACCAAGAGACGATCGTACAATATCCTTCACGGAGACGGTCTGGGACTTCGGTCTCCGTGTCCTGAATGATCCCACCTGCTTCACGTTCAACGGCTCAATGGGCTCATCGACAATCGACGTCCTCGCAACAAACCTTCCTGCTAGCGCAATAGACTACAAAGGAATCGATCACGGCTTCACAGAGGGCGATCACCTGACATGGCACTCTCCAATAGCAATGAACATACGTAAAACCCTGAACTAAATCACTCCGTCTAAAGGCTCACGCCTGATCGACAGCACCAAACTCTCCAACCTACTCAGCTCCTGCCCCATGCAACAGAACCGCAAGAGCGACGAAAGCATAGACGAACTGAGCGAGGAACTCATTGGAGGTCTTATGAACTGCGCCAAAGCCAGAAATAACCCCAGAGACAGACGATGGTGGAACAGGAATTGTACAGAAGCCAAAAATATGATGATGCAGGCCGCGATCCTCACAAAAACCCGACCCTGTATGAAAAATCTGATGGCCAGAATGAAGAGCATATACAGACGAACTCTGAAATCAGCCAAACAGGACGACTGGATTAAACGCGAAGGGGCAATGGTCCAGCGAGCAATCAGCCATCCTCACCTGTGGCTGAGACACAGCAGACCAACGCGGTCTCCATGTCCGGTCGACCCAGAGAAATTGGTAGAGCACTTCCGTAAAATCCAAGTCTCGAAAGACACCATTCCAACGACGACGCCTGAATTCGACGTGGACTGGACCGAGTTCGAACAAGCCTGGCGAGAAGAGCTGGAAGAGCCATTCCACACAGGCGAGGTATTCGAAGCCATAGCTGCTCTTCTGACAAACAAAGCATGCGGCGAAGACGGAATATATAATGAACACCTGAAAACAGCCATCGGTCTCATCCCGCAGTGGTGCGCACTATTCAACAAATGTCTCGAAGCCGGCGAGATCCCCAGATCCTGGAACTCAGGGCTCATGATTGTTATACCAAAAGCCAGAGGATGCGTCTCGAGCCCAGAGACATGGCGAGGCATAACGAAGAAGAGTTGCGTGTTTAAACTACTGTGCAGCATCCTCCTCAGACGTATAGTCCCGTTCCTGGAGTACAGAAACGCTCTTCCAGAGGAACAACACGGATTTCGTATGGGAAGATCAACATACTCAGCTTGTAAAACCCTTCTCGAGGAAATACATCGCTCAATCGAAAATCCCGGTTATCTCTACGCAGTATTTATCGATTTCTCGGCGGCTTTCGATACGGGCTCGTGGTCCATCGCACTAGAGAAACTTTCGCAAGCGGGTCTGCCAAGGCGAATCCTCGAACCTGTTCGGGGCGATACTTTAGAGAAATCCTATCGAGATAGACGACGGCGTTTCCGTTAGATATGGCTTCGATCAAACCAATGGGTTTGCCCAAGGAGAAAACACCAGTCCCCTTCTCTTCTCGAAACTAACCGCGAATCTTCCGGGCCACATCTCCCAGAAACACCCAGCGGTCAAGACAATTATGTTTGCGGACGACATTGTCCTGTTCTCAACAAGACGGTACCAACTTAATCGAGCCTGCAACACACTGAAGTGTTTGGCCGAAGAACTTGGTCTGGAGATTAACCTAGGAAAAACAGAAGCCATGAAATTCAGGAAAAGCGGGAAGCTGGCAAAAGACGACGAGATATTCATCGATGGCACAGAAATAGAAGTCGTCAACAACTTCACATATCTCGGCTTGACACTGACAACGTCAGCGCGATCATTCAGCTTACACATCGACAACAGAGTCCGGAAAACGATCGTGGCCTTCGCAACCATCGCCAACCCTCAGAAACTCTCCATTGCGTTGGTCATCAAACTATCCAGTATGAAGCTGGCCCCCACTGCTAGCTTCGGCATCAAACTCATATGGAGATACCTCTCGGCGAGGGATCTGGCAGCACTGGACAAAGCGAAAACTAGCTTCATGAAAAGGGTACTAGGGGTCCACCGTTCAACTCCTAACAGATTGGTGAAGAGACTTTGCGACACAGACTCCTTCGTGAACGAGCTGCAGAGGTCGCTGAGCCTCGAGGAGACAGACGCGTTTCACGAATTCACTAGCACCGAAAACTTGAAAGCAGCTGAAATCGATCAGGAATTCCTCAAATCGCCAGCGATGACCACACAAAGTTGGAAGAATGGGAACAGCCCAAACAGGCATATCGTTGTCAGATATAGCATCCACGGCTTTCATCACCTCCTGTGCAACACAGAGCACCACCACACACCGACAACTGAATGCCGCTGCAAGCACTGCGGTGAAGAGTGCGACCGTTACCACGCACAGAGGTGCACCAGTGTCTCCTCAATCCGAAAACTCACAAGGCTTGAACTACGAGACTTCGAACACTGAGTTGTATATTATAATACATATTAATTAGGTAGAAACGACACTTAACAGTCAGAATAAACAATATTATTATTATTGTGAAGAGCTGCCGACACAGGCCACGGCGGACGATTTTATACGTGGCGTCGGCTTGGAGGACCGTAGTGAGCGTCAAAGTCTCGAGCTGTCGTCTTGTGGTAATCAGAACACTGCCGAACTCCTCCAACCGGACGCTGATCATCCGCTCCCCGTCTATGGTCCGCGTATAGCCTTCGAGGTCCTGGGAATTGATGGCTCTGTGGAGATCCTGCAATGTCTGCACGGGCGGTGGCCTACTTGACGCGGCCACCCGCCGCGCGGTGCGGAGGTGTCGCACAGGGACTACCTCGGCTGCAGCCTCCGACATGAACTATGATATCCGTGTCTGACCAGGAGCCTCAGGTCAGAATCCGTCCTGACATTGCTATGGGGCCGGATAGGGAGTAAATGGGGTTAGAGAGAACCTTGAGCGGTACGTAGAGAGTGCTTGGGAGGTGCTCTGGATCTCACTCAGTGTAAATCGATTGAAAATGGAAGGGACAAATATATTGAACGAAGTTTCACTGTCGATTCTTCAAAGGGCTCTGAGGATAGGACCCAGACGGTTCCGCAGTTTCCTATCGCGAGGATCCTCGAGATTCAATCCCTCAAGAGCGCTGTGCTCTGCGAGAATATTCCCGCCAATTTTCTGATTGCTTCTTCCCAAGATGAGACGGAGTCCCATGTTCGACTCTTCTCGGGTCTCTCATCCTGGAGGCTCTCGGAGTTCATTCCTGTGAGGACCGGATGCTCCCCGACAACTCTCAAAGCTCTCAAACCGGGCCGAGCTATCGCCGCTATCGAATGAGCCATCCGACCCGACTCTTCTCCCTCGAAAAGTCTCGCTTTGGGGTCAATGAATGCAGTTCCCGTCCGAGGAACTTGGTCGAAAGTCTTGCGCGAAGAAACTGGTTATAGTGTTTCTCGTCCAGAGATCGGAAGCATCGCCAGCGCGAATCCTGCGCTCGAGATCTTAGCTTAGGAGTCCATCGCTATAGAATGCGCTCAGAGATCCCACTGGAGATCTCAGAAAGATGAATCGTCCAGCTCTGAGACAGGCCCAATGCACTGCTTCGAGACATCACGATTTCACAATAGAGAGGAGACAGGGGGGATCTGAGTGTAAAGCACACAGTTTATCGAGAATCCTCAGTTATCGATGAGATCCAGAAGCGCCTGTACCACGTCTCCATAAGCCTGCCGAAGACATGTCTCGGCTTTCAGTCTGGGGATCTCCAACTCTCGCATGATTAGTTCGACGTCTTCCTTATTGATCTTGACCGCCGCTAGCTTCTTGAGATGCTCCACTCTTTTCTGGAAGGAAAAGGAGAACTCGATCATCCCGCTGTGAATGACATGACGAGGGAGTAGCTTGAGCCTTCGGTAATTCTGAGACTAATAAATAACTTACCTGGACCTCTTTGTTGCGTTTCTCCGTGATAGCCTTGAGAGCAGTCTCCAGGTCCCCTCCACTGAGTTCCTGTTCTTCGTGGAAATCGGTGACTTTCTCAAGATCTGCCGCGTTCGAAGCATCGTGTTTCGCGATTTTCTTCTGCTGGCTTTCTTCATCGGCGGGCGCTTCCTTTTGAGGCATTGCGCCGATTGAGGATATGAGCAGGGATTCTCCGGTTCGCCTGATATGAAACAATCACAGCGCGTCTCAGAATCAATCGCGGTTCGCCATGCACCGTCAAGGAACGATAGCCTCCCGAGCGCGCAATCAGCTGATGTGAGAACGAATGCAATGATAACGATGATCTTTGACGAAGACTTTCGAGTGGAGTCAGGCCGCCCTGTATCAGCACTTGACAGCCTCTCTCTTTTTGTCGGTCATTACCCTTGTGGTAACGGGGGAGGTTCCGAGGGGGAAGTGTGGCTTAGGAATGAGGAGTAATCGAGCGCAGTCCGCCGCCTTGGGCTTCCATCGCGGAATTCAGTTTCCGAGACACCTCCGATTCTGCGAGAAACCATGTGGCCGGAAGTCGGATGGACAGCATTTCAGCGAAGAGTTCCACCTCGAGTTTTTCTTCGAATGAGCTCGGACAACCTTTTGAAGCACATTTTGTCTCAGAATTCGCGCGGTACGTAGTTGAATCCGTTGGGTGAGGCGAAGTCCGCCCCTGCACCGCGAACGTCTCCGAGAACTAGGCGACAGCCTGTGACTCGATGACGTGAGCCGATTCGAGCTATCCCTCACCGTCTACCCTCATCACTCCCTGGAAGGAGACTTGAGATACCGTGTAACTGATCTATTCTGAATACGATGGAGTCTGAATTGATCGGGAAATTCGATCACCCGTGACTCTTAGCAGCGGAATCCTTTGGGGAGGCGCAGAGGAAGTAGGGACGCGAAAATCTTCGATCCAAACATCCATAGGGAGTTTCCTTCGCTTTCTGACAGCACACGTCTATATGCACTCGCACGTTCACTACGGCGGACTTTTTCTACGGTTCTTTGCGAAGCATGCGAAGCTTCCACGCATTGAGTAGAACCGGTTCCATTCCTTATCGATGGTCAATCGATCGGCCCGCGGCACGAAATCCTCATTTTCGAGAGCAGGGGTCGACAAAATGCGAAGCCGCGAACGTTCTCTCCGTCTGTCTTCGTCCGTGAAGCATTCTGTATGCTCCAATCCGTATGTAGGTACCCATATCCATTCGTCCGTCTCAGAAAGAATCTCCCCTTCCTCGACTCGCGACGAGTCCGGCCGCAAGAGTCGCGAAATCAGGAACTCCGCCGACTCTGCTGGAGACTCTGCCGAACTTCCGATCCTAGTTGTCGGTTGTAAGAAAGACTGCGTCTCAAGCGCCCCTCGCTATCCGGAAAAAGAGTTGCGTGATAGAGTGCTCCGGAATGCTCCGGTCAGACGTCACCCAGGACATCTAATGTGGACGCAAGGTCGACGTGAAGAGACTCGGAAGTTGGAATCGTTCGCACTGCTGTCATCCGCTTGGATTCGACACGACGATGAGCTCGCAGATCTGTTTGGGGCATCTAGGAGTCATTACTGTCACTCGTTGCTACATGAGTCCGAGAGATACTGAAGTGAGTCCTGATGATCCATGGTGCGCGGCTCTTGTAAATTCCCGAGTCGACTGAGTGCGATCGATGTGGCTCGGCAGCACCACGTCAACTTAGCATTCCTTAATCAGTCATAACTCATGAGTAAGCTTATAGTGAAATCGAGGAGGCGCTGTCATACCGCCGCGCCATCGGCTTTTTTCCTCACCAAGAATCGCTGGCAGCGCTCTGCTCAGCTGGCCCACAGAAGGGCGGGAGAGAACGAATAGCGGCCTGTCGCTGTAGTCGTCGTCAGCGCGATGCGATTGTTGTGTCCTCCCTTTCTCCCTTCTCCCAGCTCGAACCTGGTCTTGGCGGCGGCTGCTCGCGAGAGATCTCCGCGTTCGCCATCTTTGAAAGCATCCACCTCGAACTGCAGTTCTGTCTGTCAACACGGTCGACTCACGTATTCTGTCTTCGAGTGAGCTAGCCTGAGTGAAGTTTGTCGACTCCCTGCAAACATGCCGAGTGAAGGATTTGTAAGTGAAAATCGAAGTCTAGTGTTCCTACTCGCTTGGAGTGCTCGGACTTTCAGCTTTGATTCGTGAGAAAGGGGATATCGGCCGTCAAGCGAATGCCCGTCGGGTCGGGCGGGAGCGAAGTGCGCAGTTGTCCGGCCACCGCCCTGGGTGGACTCCCACCTTCAGAAATTGTGTTCGACTCCCTCTTAGAGGGATTTCGATAGAATCGTCTGGGGATGGGACCCGAGTTTTTGGAATTATCATAGTCATGATGAGGAGCTATCTTATTTTTGTCTATAAACAACATCGATGCGCGGGCAGGCTTTTCCCAGGGTAGCGGCCGGACTCTCGAGTCGGCAGTGGTGATCGCTGCGTCGCTTGCCCAAGGTTTTTCCGGAACAAGCCGACCAAGTCCGTGCACGGCTCAGAATACTATCACATCCCACATCCCTTCGTTGATGACCGATTCCGAATGTCCGACTCACCCCACCGTGAGTCGGACAATCGAGGTGGGAGACTGCGAGAAATTCAAATGGTAACTGTGCGCCAACCTCGGGTGCACACACCGTTTGAGGATTCTCTTCAGTATCCATATCTGCCTTGAGGAATCGGGTCCGACCTACGACTCCCTTCGTGGCAGCATTGCCAGTGCCCGCAAACCAGAATAGGGTGCGGCTCCCCCTCCCTTGGATTGCGGGATCCTCTATGAATCTACTTCGAGTTATCGGGATTTATCTAGAGCATACTACATCGAATCAAGACAAGAACTACTGTTCGTTTGAGGCAATATGCGGAGGTTCGACCAGAATTCTCCGAGTATTTTCCCGCCCTTGAGCAGCTGCGACATCCCGTTACGAAAAACAGAGAGAAAAATGTAATTTTCGACCTTCTCTGAGCGCCGTTGAACCCTCAACTCGTTCAAATCCTGGATTGGGACGCTCGGGATGAATATTATGCAGGATGATGATGAGGAGAATATCACAAGTGGACGCGAAGGCTTCGGAGCTTTATCATTACATTTTTCCATGTTCCCTCGCATTCGCAGGAATCCGTGGCAGCTGTCAAAGCGAAACTGGCGCCGTGGCGTGAGATTGTTCTCCTGACGAAGAAGCTGCTGTCTTGGGACAAACCGTTCTATCCCGGCGTCATCGCAGGGGCAACGACCTTCATCTTCCTGTGAGTAGCTCCCTCTCGAACTCAGCAAATCGGCTGTCATTCTCCCCGTCTGATGTTATGACAGCTATGTCTCCCCACAGGATTTTGTTCTGTCTCGACATGTCAAATCTGACCCTGTTCCCGCTCCTGATTGCTCTGGTACTCATCGCTGATTTCGGAGTTCCATTCGTTGCGCCAAAGGTTTGTGTCTCTCACAGTATTAAAATGCGCCGAAAGTCCCTGTCAGGGCCCGCGTATGTACCGTGAATGTTTGCCGAGTCAGGAGAGAGGAAAAAGGAACCCCCCCTTTCCTCCTAAAGAGGGCTTGGCTTCGATCGGTGCGCAAAAAGTGCGCATCCTATGCTTGAGGGTTCTGAAACGTTTCTTCAATCCCACAGATCTTTGATCCCTCGAAATGGACTGGTCCCCAAGAACAAGAATTCGAGAAGATTTGCGAATGTATCTCGAAGGCGTCATCAGAGCTGAGTGGGGTATGCAGTTCGATCTGTGAAACCAAGGACAAATCACCGAAACTGGTAAGGCCTGCTTTCCATAGTTTCGATTAAGTACTTCCTAATTCAATGCTCAAGCCCTCTCGAATGAACTCGATTCCTCAAATCCCTTACTCCTTGAATTCACAGTTTTTGTTGGCAGCACTCACAGTGCTCTTGTCGCTGTCATGGGTGGGATCGTATCTGAATGGTTTCTTCGCTGCTTGGGCCCTCACGCTGACTGTCCTCATGATCCCCGGACTCAAGAAGAACGGAGCCCTCGATAAGATCATTCAACTCGCGCTGTCGAAAACAAAGGTGCACTAAGCTCGTGGACATCGACGACAACTCCCACAGCAGCGTTCAGTGCGGCAGGAAGCCTATCGCCACCTCGCGCCAGGATATTTTACGCACAGGTGATAAGAGGTTTCCCCGACACATCTGAACTCATGGCCGAGTGATGAGAGGCAGACTGCACACTATGATAGTATACCCGAATATTGACTGGGACGAGTGTACCCTCTAACAGCATTAGACCTAGGAGACAGCAGGAATAGGAAACTGGGAAGGATAATTGGACGGGGCGACTTGGAATTAGGATAAGGGAGACGACGAAAAAGCCGTAGCCTGCTAGGCTCAGACCTATCTCCAGTGCACCCGCACTCAGTATGCTCACCTGTTCACTCATTTTCTTCGTTTAGAAGATTACGTTCAGCTGTGATTCGACCAAATCGCTAGCGTTTCGGTTGTGGAGCCTTACACTTCAACCATTCTACAGCACTTGGTTCCAGATATTTATGATATGATATAATTTTCCATTTTGGTGATTCTGTAAGATTCCCAATATAGCAGTATTCTAGTGTAGGAGCACTCCCATCTTTCCCATAGCTAGTTGTCCATCGTCCGAAGTCCGAACTTCAGATTTTCGTCCGGACCCCCTAGCTCCACGGTGTAGATAAGTCCCCAGCGTGTGGATTCCGATCATTCGACATTTTTTCCGATTCCTCGGTTGTCTCCCGCGTCTGCTAGACGTTTCTGATAGTTGGTTGTGATCATCATGTCCGGGGAACGAGTCTCAGATTCTTAAATCAACGCCTTCGAGCTTGCGCTACGACATTTGGACAAGACCAGCAGCGGAGCGACATGAATCTCGAAAATTTAAGTCCGAGCGATAACTCCGGAATCGGGCAGAACGGGCTAAATCATGGTCAATCCAGGTTCAGAATCTAATTCCAATCAGGCAGCTCCGTTTCACTCGATTGAGTCGATTGTGAGTTCCGATTAAGATTCTGGCGTGAATGCGGCAGAGCGAACGGCGCCGGCGAGAACACGGTCGACCGGATACTTATCACACGTCTAGGACTCGTTTTTTTTGGTCGGAGAAGTCGGATTTCAACGCTGCATTATGATCTCCTCGCTCGTGGGAGCCTCCCCCTTTCCCCGCAGTTAAAATCAAGAAAAAGACAAGAGCCCTGAGCGTGACGTCGTGTGATTCATCTCGAATATCAATTACTTCGTATTTTCGACTCTCAGGGCTGCCATGGCTTCATTATGTCTCCATGCATGCAGATTCCACCCCCTCATTCCACCCTTATTCGCTCGACTGAGTGAGCTCGATGTCATCGGCGAGGCTCTTGCGACACTGCTACATACTGGGGGGTCCCATCATACTATCACCTTGTTTTCAGAACGTGATAGAATTTTGAGATTCGGACTATTTGGGCCAAGACGAGTGATTCGTGATTCGCGAAGAAGATGAAAATCCGTGATATGTCGGGTTCGGTGTAAAAGTTGCGATCCGGTGAACTCCCCGTTCTACATATAAGAGCTATCCGGAAGAGCCTTGGAAGGAGGAGGAGGGAGTCCAATTCGGCGGGAATTACCGCTGTCACGGCTCAGTAGGTGACCGTAACAGTTCTCATTGATGGGCTGTAACCGTCGTGTCATCGGCTCACAGAAACACGTCGCTTCCTGTACAGTTATCTTTACCATTGAACTTCATACCGACCATCATACCGAGCGGGCAACACGAGTTTCGAGGATGCGACGTGACTAAAACCGAGTCATTGCCACATGAGAGCTTAGACTCCAGGCCAAGACACGCTAGGAGCTGTCGATGAGCGCGCTTGATAAAGGTGGAATGTGACGCCGGATGCCGATACGAGCCGCGCACTCCTCTCTACTTGCGGCATCGGTCGGTCAGAGTAGGCTGGATCTAAACTTACAGAATGCATAATATAAATAACGATGGATATCTATATATTCGGATCGAGATAGCACGAAAAACTAAGAATTCCGCCAGTGTGTAAACGTCCTCTGAATTCGGTTTGAGTCCCCTCAAGTGCGCTTCGTATGCCGTGAGAATGATTAACAATCGTCGACCAAATTGATTGCATAATTTTTGCAAGAGGAGCGACTCCGTTTACGCCACGGAAACATTCGCCTGGACGAAATCGAAGAATAAATAGAGCGTCGGGTCGTTCTATCGATTGTTCTGTCTTTTCGGGGCAGATCGAGCGTTCAGAATGCGATTCTTGGTAGACGCGGAACATATTCCCGTTCGAGGATAAATATATTCTACCGGTTTGGAGAAGCTCCTGTTATTCAACTACTTATCACATGAAGATTGGCAGCATAATCATGGAAGCAACTAGCGAACAAAACTTTAATCAGATCAAAACACCAAGAGTGTCCGAAGCCAAATACAATACATATAATTTGATAATTCAATAAGAACTTGTATTCATTGGATGGTTTCAATCGGAGCCGTAATCGTGCTAATCGCTTCGGCCGATGGGGGAGGTATCGAGTTCTTCTGATTAAGGCGGAAGTTCTGTCCCAAGAGACTCGCGGCTCTTCTCAGATGTTCCACGTTAGCTCCTGTTGACCCATGACTTCCAAGGTCCGGTGGCCGAACCGTGATCCCTCGGCTTATTCGCTACGCTATTTTCGTGTTTCCTGAGCCAGCATGATTTTGGTCCTCCAGAGGAAGACCAGTTCGAGCCTCAAGTTATCCGTCGCGAAGCATCGACTTTTCGAAAGCCATCCAATCCAGCGGACGTCCTGATGAACCGATCCATCTAGGCGTTGATGAGCAGACTTCCAGTCAGGTTTGGACGATAGAGCTTTTTGGATCGTAGCTAGGCTTGCTATGAGGGCGTGATCGTCGCGCCAATTCCAGCGGATAGAGCTCCCGCAGAGCCTCCCAGGGTTTCTGGGAAACTAATCATTCCCCTTGAGCTCGATCGTCTCGGTTCTCCTGCCCTGGCATCTGACCTGGGATCTCAGCAACCCAATTCTGATCGAATTTGGAAGCCGACAACACGAATCCTGGTTGCATCCTAGCTCCACAGTCACAATTGAGTCCCATCCAACCGAAGCGTCCAATCTTATTCGTACATTTTGGACAATAGATTTTCCCTGTTGGAAAAGAATCCCATCGTATTTTCTGTCCTCTCTGGAAGGATTTCTCTTCGAAGTGGAACATGTGACTCTAGCATGATATTATTCCGATGCCTCAACTCACCTGACAGTCCCAAGCATCGGGACATGATTGTCTCGCTCGGTAACATAAACACATCGCTACAGCCAGCGCTGAAATTGGCCAAAATCCCGCCCGCATCCACGGAAAGGTTCCTCCACGAAACGCTTTCGCCTCGTTTATGGGGTAGGATGCGTGAGGAACTTGTGAGCGGACATCGACAGTGTCGACAAAGGATGTCCTTCTTGCCCTCAAGCAGCAGACTAGGTAACGAAGCTATCATTAGAGGGAAGGAAGAGGATGTTCATCCCGGCATGTACTCATAGGGTGTCGGGCGATACCTGTTCAGTTTCCGCCGATCCTCTCCTGGTAGATTTGCGAAGCCCATGTAAGACCCCACCTCGGAAGCTATCGAAGTCAAGCAGAGCAACTGATAGCTATGAAGAACGAGCATCCGATAGAATCCTCCGCCGGAAATTATTCGAAAAATATCGAGACGACATGAACATTCGAATTCACCTCGGTGTTGTATCATCGATTGCGAATCCCATCCGCTCATATAGTTTCAGCTGATCCACGAAGCCGTCGTTAGGTGCGACCGGACGTTTAGCTCGCACACGAGCAAGAGCTTCCTCGTATGATATCCGATATTTATTCATCAAGAAGGCCAGAACGATTATTGCGCTGCGAGAGACACCTAGACAGATTCATCCATTGTGATTTGATGCTCTCTGTATACGAGTACATCCAGGATGTCCCGCCGAGGAGGTCCAGCAACAGAGAAAAATCATCAGAATCCTTTCACGCCCACACCAAGACTTTACCGACGTGACAGTGCACCAGAACATTGCTGCCGCGCCTGATGAACTCATTGCAGTCTTCGAAATGGGACAGGAGGTCCACGTTGTCGTCGTCGTTTTTGCGGAGATATAAGCTTACAAAACTGGAATTGCGGAATCGGGATTGTCTTTGGAATCGCTCCCCGAAGGTCTTCTCTAGCTCCAGGGCTTCCACCACTGATGATACAGCGGGGGACATACTTCTCTGGTCGAGTGAATAGGTGTAGCCGAAGAGGCCAGGTATCCACTGTGAGTATGTGTGTAATCCCGATTGATGTCAATGCCTCCTCGTTTTCCGCGACCTCGCGACTGGATAGGAACAGCCCCTCCTCGATCTCATTCACATCTTGCCCTTGATCAGACATGAGAGATACTCGAGGCACGAGCCCTCGAGACAGTTGCGGGAACCTGAGAAGTTCGAGGTAAGCTCCTTCTGAGACGTGTGGTGGTTAGAGCATGTTCGAGCGGCCCGGAATCTCAAGCTTGGGCTTCGTATTTGGGTGAGGCCCAGGCCGGGCCAAGTTTCGACACCCCTCTCCAGCGAGGATTGATGAGTCCGCAACGTTTCCCGGGAAATGTAGCCGTTGAGTATTCATCACCGTCTCCGGAGCTCCGGAACTCCTGTGACTCGAAAGATGTGGCTCTCGCAGAAACTCATTGGTTTGTCCCATACTTGCCTCAGAGGAGATTCCCGACTCGAGGAACGAGCCACCCGATGACCGCGGCGGGACTCAACTTCTCTGATCCGCGAATAAGACTGCTCCCGCGCGCCTCAGACCGGTTCAATGTTGTGTGTTTTGAGGAGCTTACAAACGCTGGGAGAGGGATGAGCACAGACTGCCTCGAGAGAGAGGGAAAAAATGGGATGAAAACATTGAAATTCATTCTTGACCCCAGGTTTACCTCCTAATTGTATGTCGTTAAGTTTCGTGTCGCTCGAGCAATTCGGGGGAAATCTCGCGTACTTCCCCGGACCATGTTGCGACGCTCTGTCAGTCGGTCGCGCGACGCTGTTCTTGGCTCATCTGCCGTCGCCTCGGCGAGGGGATCGCTCTGTATTCCTCAAGGCGGCAAACTTCGAAAATTATCGGTCTGTGCGGCGGAGCCCAGCGTCGCTCCCCGGGAGCGAGGATTCGAGCGATCCTTTGCCTCATCTCCGTAGAAAGATATTCCTCTCGTGAAGACCGAACTCCACCCATCCTCTAACCTCCATTCATCGCGGAACTCCCGCGCCCGATCCCGAGGGACTACAGCGCACGAGGATCGATCTGACATCCTAGAATGGATGTATCCCGGAGACTCGTCAAATCGAGTAAGACAGGAAGATGTGATGCCCAGCCTGAGCACCTGATACCGAAAAATCATTCGCAATGAGATCTCGCGATTCTCCCGACTGGATCAGTTCTCAGTTGGAGAGAAGAATTTATGTGCCGAGTGTGCCCGACCTCGCACTCCACGAAGACTTCGATGGAAAGGTCCCTTGCCTGTCAGATTCATTATACGCGGAAGTTCAAAGGGGAGCCATTTTCACGTGACACGTCTCATATTGTGAATTTCCTGATTGGAGAGCCTGTCGGACGATTTGTCGAGCATCCGGAACCTGCTCCGCGTCGCGTCTCATACAACCTGCTGCTTCTCCAGCCTCCGAGATCTTAAGAAGGTCTCCATGATAAACAAGGTCTAGCAGCTCACTGCTAAAGTCGAACCCGAGGCTTCGGTCACTCGTCGAGCGGGAAAACATATTGTTAAACATATTGAAAGCATATTTGACATAATGTTCCCGGGGGAGAGTGTCGCGTACACTGAAGGTGTCCGCGCGGAAAAAGAGATTTTGCTAATTACAGAGGAGGCCGCCAGGCGGCGAACAAACAGACGATCGGGTTTAAGCCAATCCAGTATTGCATATTGGGTCAACCAGCTCTCGGTGATGCAGTGGAATACAGTCAAGTCTTCAAAACTTGGGATTTTCCAGGGGAGAATCTTGGGAAGCTTTCCGAGTTATAAGTCATCAGAGGGTCACACTTCGAGGGTCTATCGAGCGAGCTGGCGGCAGGGATATGCTCCCTGCAGAAAAAAGAGCGGATATCTGACTGCCTCTTCCCAGTCAGATAATCCGATATGACTACCGCACGATATTTTATTGAAACTCTACCAACTCCAGGCATGTGACATGCGTGGTTCATGGAGTCTTCTAGCTGTGGACATCCTCGGCCACGCTCGTACTCTTCGCCTACTTTGCGTATTACGCATATAGCTCCCCTACTGGGTCGGTGGAAGAACTCCGTCAGAGGGTTACCCTGGTCTGTCAGGTTATGGAGACACTGTGTCCATCTTAACACCAGTCATCATTGTGGGCGACCTCAATCTTCCGTTGATTGATTGGTCTTCCCCGCTGATTCTCTCCAACGACACGTCCACCGAGAACATCTTCATTCAGTTTTGTCTCCTGAATTCTCTGACTCAACTGGCCCACGATGTCACTCGCCCCGCGAGTCTCAACACACTGAATCTTCTCTTGACATCATCTCCTGATCTGGTCTGCAACTTGAATGCGGGCGTCGCCCCGGCCGAGACAGACCACCTCGCGCTCAGGTTTGATATCTCGCTTGCCTATGGGGCACCCCCGAATCTGCGCTCGGAGCTCGACTTCAAGAGAGCTATTCATGAGTCGATCGGATGCACTCTGGCAGCGACCGACTGGAGCTTTCTCTGGCTGCTCCAATGTGGGAGGTATGTACACCCACTTGCTGGAGGAGCGTCACCTCTCTTATGCTCTCTTCACGTTCCGCCCTGGTAGAGTCGGATTTCGGCGGTCGACAGACACGTCGGGCTGCTTGCTGAACGACTCACCTCTGCTAGTGCTCTCCTGGGCTAACGAGAGCGGCTCCAACGTCAGTTGGACAAAGCGTCCCGGCGCCAACGGATTCTTCAGGAGTCGACTATATCGACCAAAAGCATCGGCAAGCTGTATCGCTTCGCAAACTCGAGGCTGAAAATTACTGACAGCAGTGGTCTCATCGCTGATAATGGGCTCCTGTTGCAGACCAACCAAGGGAAAGTTGAAGCATTTCGTCGGTACTTCCTATCGGCATACGACACTCAACAAATCCCGTTGGTCATTCAAGAAAGTCAGGCTCGACGTCCGAAGATTGATCTCTTCCCTCTTGCGGTCGGCGAGAGACTGGTTGCCACCTCTCCGAAGTGCCCGGTTACCCCTGAAGGACTCCCCCGATCTCCTTCAGGAGATTGGCCGATGCTCTATGTGAGCCCCTCTCTTTATCATCTTCTCCCGATCGTCACATGATGGTGATTCACCATCATATATATATTATATCATCATCTCTATATTATAGAGCCTCTATAATATAGAGATGTTGGTATTCGTCGATGAGACCGTTCAAAACAATATGGGTATGCATCGCATCAACAAGTAATCTTTCCATAATCAGGCACGGGATCACAGCCTGGGCAATGGGGCGATAGTTGCCCAGTTCCTTCTTTGCGCTTTTTTTGTGGATTGGTGTGACGAGAGATATCCGGAAAAGTTAAGGCACTTCACCATAATAAGCGCGAGCTTCCCTAGCTATGAGTTCGATATACTCCATCCACGTCGAGCGGATCAGTACGAAATTTCAGCTGAGCATCCTTATGGGTCTGGTCAATGTTTTACAGGGTCATGAGAGGATTAGGCTCTCCGGTGGCAGTGTACGTATTCGGTGTAGCCACAAACAACGAAGAGTGAGAATGGAATGAATTTCGCCGAAACTTCATATTCACTGGAATTCGACAACGAGTTCATTTCGAGTTGACTCCGCATTGCGAAGAGTGAAACATACACAAATGAACGCCTGACTCCATCCGCAGCGCGAACTCGCCAACAGAGACAGTATACCACAGCGGAGGCTCCACAGGAGGCGAATAATCGACGGAAACGCAATGCTTCAACCCTTGATCAACAATGCCAGGAAGAGCGGGATGACTTTGATATTGGCGAAGGAATGAATGACTCTTATCAACAAGACACTCAGCCTAATGATCATCACGGCAAGGCGCGGGCAGTCGATCTGACTCCGATAGCCTTTAATTATGACCCTTCAGCACCTTATTCTGAACATCCGGAAATTGTTATCGGTGGCATGGACTCGATTTTCGTAATTATCCTTTCTATTCCCCGTGGCGAAGCACGGGTAGCAAATAGCAAGGACTAGTGGTTTCATGAAGGGGAGGTCAACCACCTCCCAGCTACTCACTATGATGCAAGACTGGGGCATGGCCCTATCGAGCAAGAAGCAAGTGCACTGCATTTATTTATATTATTATATATAATTTATTTGTGATCCCGACCACAGGCAAATATATAAACTATTCGCCGATGACGTCGAGGCCTACGATGAAATTGCGTCCGATGAAGACTGTTGTGAGGTGCTCCAACTGGCCTCTGACCACATCGCCAGGTGGTCGATCGTAAACTGCTTGTCCCTGTCTGAACCAAAATGTCTGGTCTGGTCCTGAAGACCCAACCACATGCCTTCATATACACGCTCAGCGGGAACATCCTCAGGGAGGCGGATTCCGTCAAGGACCCCTCGAGTCGGTCCAATGTCGCCACACTCCATCGTGAGGCGGATATGCGATTCTTCTCCATCAAGACTTATCAAGACTGTCAGTGCTTACACCTTCTTCAGGGTCGCCCTCAACCCGAGGCGGTCGGGAGTCATCTACTCCTCGGAGGAAATCGCTCCAAACCACACAGTCAACATTATTTCGTTTGGAGGGTCTCCAGATACCTCAGAAACCCCTAGACTCCTCTAAGTAGATATCGAATCCTACATACCCCCCCCTTTGCTGAAAATTAAGACAGTTTATGAATGAAAGTTGATCGCGAATATGTGAGAAGTTTTCGTGGAGCACCCTCACGAATCCAGACGCTCCGTACAATCGCGCCGAACGTGCCTCCGCGACCGATCATAACTCGTGGGGTAACGCGGATCGCGTTGTATTACGCGGAGCATTTTGGGGCTCTTCACCGAGTTGTTCATGAACTAGATTCATCGGAAGCGGCGGCTATCGCCAAATCACAGGAACTCATGCGGGACCCTGGCGTGAGAGCCAATCGCGCATTTATGTATAGCTTTTAACTTCTCAGAATTCCCGCAGTACATCACAGAATTAGAGAAGAGCATCCAGCCACTCAGCCGCTTGTTGAGCCTCATATGAGATATCAGACGAAGCGTGGAATCTCCGGTTGGACCCGAGGCCGCCCCGATAAAAGCGAGATTCCAAAGGATTCTCCAGGCGGATCCCGCTTTGAGGATCATGGAAAAAATCGACAGAGCTGTACAGGGGACAAGACCAGGAGCTGAAGTAGCAAAACTGACGATCGCAGACATGATGGCAGTGAAATACGCTCCTCTCGTCAGGTCCGAAGAAGACAGATCCTTCTCTCGGTACAAGAACCTCTTATCGGATAGACGACACTCTTCGACTCCACAAAACGCAAAGTATCATATACAACCGATCAGGGAGTGAATAAACATTTCTTGGATTTGTGATCATTTCTTGCTCAGGTCATCAGCGAAAAGCCATTTCGAATAGGCTCTCCATGTTTCGACATAAATCGCTCGTTTTTGATTCACTTGATCGGTGAAATCTACGCTGCATTATTTTCCCCCTAGTTTATCTCCTGGTGGCCAGATTGCCGCCCACCGTATTGCCTTACGCTGCCTGTTTTACCTCACACTGCCTGTTTTGCCTGACAATGTCTTTTACGCCCCTTATGCCTAATCCGCCTCAGCGCCATTACCGCCTCTTGTCGCCTACTTCGCCAGTCTATAATGTCTTCTCCGCCCCGTTCGATGCCCATCTTGCCTATTCTGAAGGTCGATATCATCGCCTTCTGAGTGCCTGAACTCTGAAGCTCAACCTTATAAGTTATCGAAGGTTTCCCAAGTTATGATTACAGATTCAACATTGCGCCCGTGCTACAGCTCACGGAGGAATGAGTTCTAATTTACAAGTAAGGAGCGGTCTCGGTTATGGGGAGTTGACTGAAGTCGTAAGATTCGATGAAGCGGCCAGGAAGAGTTTCAGCTGGAGCAGGAGAACTTTCATCGATGGCACCTCTCGGTAATCAGTATACTCGCTTATTCTCTGTGATTCGGAATGCAGTTCAAGCTCCATATTTATTGTGGTATACGTCTGATAAACGTATTTATCGGGAGCCCCGACTCAAGTTTCTAACATTCGAGCTTCATAATCCGAATTCATCATGTAATCTCTATCGCTTCTGGGTAGTTATTAAGATATACGCCCGATAAGTGTATTCATCGGAAGCTCCGACTCATGTTTGAGGCTCCTTGGTCCGAGCTCATCCTGGAATATCAAAGAACTATGAATACACCTATGAATAGCCAGCAGATTGACGAGCCGGCTCGCTGCATTTAGACCTCGCCTCCTTGGGGTACCCCATCGATCCCCCGCTGAATCCACGAACATGAGTGCATATACCTAGTGCAGACAAAAACTCGGACTACGTCTCTCTTTGCAGAGCCTTCAGGAACAACATCATGACTTACGCTCCGGAGAAAGCGAGAACTTCACTATTAGCTAACCAAGCGTTGTAGCTCATTATACCGATCAGAATGGTTTTGGTGAAATACATCATTCGAGACAATCCGTATCTAGACCTCATATGTAGCTATCAATCATCGTCGCGGAGGAGGCACGTTGCGGTTGCTTCCCGCTAATTCTGCAATGGTTCTCGACAACGAATTTGATTTTGTTGACCGCGGCTGAGACATCATCGGATGAATTATCAAGGTGGAATGTTGCTCGCACCGCCGTCCTCGTTATCGGAAGCAAACGAACTTGAATTTCTTCTCCGAGCTCATAGGCCTCGTCGGGGAAAATCTGGCAATAGGGAGAGGAATCTCTGATTGTGTGAGCTCGACTCGGTGAGTTTTGAATCATGGCCGCCCTCTGACGGAGCGGTCATGCGACCACAAAGCGCGAGGCCGAGAGCTTACCGTTTCCAATTGACTACAGAATACTTCCGGATTGTAACCATTCTTCATGTTCAATATTGTCATGTTAGTCTGAGTCCTATCAAGATTGATTGAGAAGATGTCGTTGTCGAAGGCTGCGAGACTCTGAGCGAAGTGATAGTTTTTATCGTGATCCTGAAATCGAGGGGAGAATGAGGTCGCATCCTTCTCCAGAAGAACTCCACGGGTGTTAGTTTTGCTCGTTGTTATCTCTGCATTCTTTCTGGGAATGTATCTACCTTTTGCAGAGCCTTCGCGGTCGAATTCAAAGCGACGATGCCTGCGGCTGCAAGGATCCCTGCTTGTCGCATGCCTCCTCCGAGAACCTTGCGGTTCCTGCGGGCTCTGAATCAGGATCGTTGAGTCAAGCGAAGTCAGACAGCGGATCGTAAGCTTCAGAAGAATTTTGATAACATACTGTTTGCAGAAGTCTGTTGAGCCTGCGAGCAAGGAGCCGACCGGGGCTCCGAGACCTTTCGAGATGCACATCATCACACTATCCACATCGCGGGTCAGACTCTCGGGGGAACAGCCGAGGTAGGTGGAAGCGTGAAGTAGGCGCGCCCCATCCAAGTGCAAGGGTACTCCATTACTTCTCGCGAATCTCCCTGCAAAATTACGAGTTCTCAAACACTCTGAGCAATGCTAGTCAAACGCGGGTACGCATATTCCTTAGGGTACTCCCGCCCTTCTGAATGCTTCCCGATTCTTTGAGTATTTCTCAGATTTATCCTCCTGATTGATATCTTGGGGAATGGGAAGCAGGAGAAGGTGGTTCTGCGGAATGAGCTCGTTCTTCCGAATCGTCGAATCGCCGGTGAGTCGTCGGCGGCCTGAAGAGCTCGGGGAACGCAGGTAGCTCCGGCCCTAACTCGGGACGAAGAAAAGCGGGGACGCTGAGCGAGGGGAGGGCTGTGGCGGTGACTTGATGTCGGCGATGGCTTGACAAAAGGAGAGTTATCTCCCACAGGCTCGTGACGTACCGATGTCGTGCATGTAGGATAGATCAAGGACTTGTCCGCCTTTGACATTATGCGTGTTCTCAATGCACAAGAGGCCAGTTCGCGGACTACAAATGCTATTCAGAGGCCTGATGCGGCGTTCCAAGTCGGAAATGAGAATTGTGCCATCATTCTGATTAGGCGCTGTCGCGATGCTCAAGCCTCCTAGCTGGGAAAACACACGAATAAACGAGTCATCTTTGGGCTGCGGGCTGGGGAGCACGAGAAACTCGCTCGAGACTAAGAAGTTGAAGGGAGTATACTCACCGAGGAAACCCCTCCCTGCTCGAGCAGAAAAATGTGTGAATGGTCCCCACAAAGAACTTCTTGACCCCGCTGTCTGCGTTTTGTGAACGAGGTTAGGAAAAATCCCTCCGTATCAGGGGCGATCTGGGCACCGCGCTGGAGCGCGATTAAAGGATCTCACGAGCGCACATCCGGCGTACTTACCCACAGTGAGTCATCGTTGCGCATATATTAGCCATCGTGCCCGACGGGAAGAACAGAGCATCTTCTTTCCCGAACATCTCAGCAACCATTCGCTGCAATTCTGTATCGGAACACTATTTACTGATTGCGATTTCCTCGACCCGGTCCGGTAATCTGACGAGCGACTCCCACATACCGTATTTCCTGCATTATAAGAGCATGCTCTTCTATTTTTCAATCCCTCAACAGCTCGCCCGTCTATTGGAAGGTGCTCTTCTAATAGAGGGTACCTGTCCATAAAATGGCTATTCTCCATTCGGACTTCGGTGAGAACACTTCTCTCTTGCCTGCATCAGATCGCGGGATTATGGCTACACACCTGGGGGTGCTCTCTTAATTGAGGGTGCTCTTCTAGTAGGGGGTGCTCTCTCATTTCTCGATCCCCCCCGTGGTTGCCTTTCTTTTGGGGGGAGCTGTTCTAACAGAGGGTGCTCTAATGATACAGGAAATACGGTACCTGCTTCCATTCGTATAGCATATATCGATCACTCGATGATCATACGAGTCCTAGCCTCACCGTTGACGGTAGGATCATCCTGGAAGAAATCGTCCCCGACGACCGCAGCCCGCATCGCGTCGCGCATTTCTTGAGTTGGGGTCGTGACTGTATCACTTCGGAAGTCGCAAGTGTGTCGCGTCTTCATAATGCCGCAATTTCAATGGGATCTGGGAAGGCGTGAGAGCTTTTATCGTCCCATCTCCTATCAGAGACACTGCGTTCGACCGTAATGTCGGATTTCTTCGCTGAGTATGATTGCCATGATCGTCAGTCACCTCCTAATGAGACTTCTCTGATTGAATGGTCCCACCATGAGACCTCTCAAAAATTAACCGACAGAGGAAGGTGGAGCGGAGTACCCTGTGCGGAAAATTATACTCCTCGAGACAGGGAAAGAGATCCCTGTTCTACCTTGCTTCGCCGTAGCGACCTTTCTGGATAAAGTCTCATTGCGTAGAACTTCGTTAGAATAAGGCTTCCAGCGCGGAGGAGCAAGAAGGTCGCAGAGGAACGCAAGACCATGAAATACGTCCATTCAAGAGCTGACCGAGAAACGACCCAGGAAGCAACAGAAACATTCGGGGTGCCTGCTGGGGGATCGTCATCTTGAGCGAGATTCCGGAGCTAATCAGAAGCGACACATGGAGACTCGCTGCCGAGTCAAGACGCTGCCTGACAAGGATAAAAATGTTTTTGTCTTGCCAATGGAAAATGAGTCTCCTCTCCCGCTGTTTCGTGAGGTTCTCGCGTCTGACGTGTGCGATCTCCCCAGGAAGGAGTCACTCGAGCGAAGCGACCGACGCGACGTCTCTAGTCGTTGCGATGCTCAAGCGGACAAACTCTTTCTTAGCTCTCCCGGAGCCTAATAAAAAATACGTCGCCAGGATCGTTCAATGACTTGAATTCATGCAAAATCTTGCATAAGTCAGCATGATTCTGCTCTTCACTCGAAGTGAGATGGATTGCGGCTCGGATGGCTGGCGTCAGCGAGCTCGAAAGCTTCTCAAAGACTACCTCGAGGTTGAATAGCAGGTCGGAGCCACGACTTGAGGTCGGGTCGGCATCGAGTTGTTCGACGTGGACTTATCCGGCACCGAGTTGACGGCATCGAGGTGTCTTTGTCCGCATGAGACGCACTGGACGGGCCTTCCACGGCCGCCGGCTTTGAGAGAAAACGAGTCAAGCCCCCAGGGAGAGTACTTGATTTCGATTCTAGGCTCGGTATTTGACTCGCTTCAGTGATACCAGCCGGCCTCCCAGTAACAGTGCTCTGGACCCATTACTCTGCCTGCTCACAGCAAAGCGGACCACGTGCACTCGATAGCGCGATCAGCAAAAGCCATCACCGATGCGTAGTGGGACTTTCGAATATCTTCTTGAAGATTGCGGTGCCGCAACCGGAACTCGATTGAAGTCTAAGGATCAAAACCGGGAAGCTGATGCAGGTTCTGCGGGAAAGTCTCGATCAATCGCAGTTGAATAGTCCCCAAATCACGGGAGCCTAGAAGATTGCACCCCGCTTCGCTTCGATGTCTGTTCGGCCCGCGGAGTGCTTATAGTGCAACCATAAGACACGAAAAGAATGACCAGGTCTCCTTGACCCGCTGCGCCATTAATGCACGAGTGATGTATGAGTCAGGCTTCCCTAGTTTTCATTTTACGCTGCGCCACTATGCGGGGGGCTGGATTGGTTTTTTAAGGGGCTCAGAATCCAACACGGAGTCTGTTGGATTCTGAGTCTGCGTTTCTTTCTGACTTTTCGGTCCGCATAGCTTTTTTTCTTGAAAGATCTCGGTTCAAATGAGAGAATTTCACAATATCAGATCCATCCGAATCACCACTCGGTGGGCCGCGAGCCGATTCGAGCTGCGTCGATTCGGCCCTGCAAAGACATCAATTGATCAGCGGAGAACGCGCGTGAGAGAAGGGGGCTCCCCCCCCCACCCACCGGAAGACCCGCGTTTCGTCGAGGTTCTCGCTATGATGCTGGGCTCTTCTAATTGATTTGATCTAGACCGAAACACTTGCATTCGATCTGGGTACTACACCGTATATAGGTCATGCTCTGACTGAGACATGAATAAGTCTCGCACCCATGGACCACCTGAGCGGAGATTGACCTGATTGGCGAATCATGAGTGGTTCTCTTTGTTACGAGACCGGAATCCTCCACTCTGCCTATTAAGAACGAGGTCAGCGAGATGAGCACCGACTGTCAAACGTTCCAGAGACGGACGTTTCTGACGACTGTGGTAGCAATTTCCTAAAGTCGAACACTCTTACGATAAACTGCAAAATCGGGCTTCTGGGGACATAAATGGCCGCCTTCATCTCCACTCAACATCCCCTCGTTCCTTGATGGTTGAGGCGCAGTGATCCCTGGTGTTATCGCAAATCTTGGTTAGAACTCCTCTCGGGAGCCATCTTATCATAAGATGGAAAGAGTCACCCATGTCGTGGGGGGTCTCCGGTTCTTCGTCCAGTCCGGACCCGGGAAAGTCATGCTAGAGGAGAGTCCCATGGGTCTTCTAGATGTACAGTAGCTCTCTCGGATGGGAATGAGTCACTCCAATAGCTTGTTCATCTTTTTATTCTGCGGCCGCAATCGTGTCAGGAGTCCGAACTTTGAATGATCGGAAGATTTGACAGAGCCGATCGTCTCGAAAGGTCGCGGATTAGCTCGTCGGTCAATCGAATGGCTGATGCTCCCCCGTGCAGCTTAGAAGGAGCTCCGATACGCCCCTGCTGCCACGAACATGAAGATTCGGCCTCTCGGCGTAGTTTGTTGAGAGGCGCTCAAATGGTAACGGAGTACTGACGGATCGGCAACGAGGCTTCTCGGCCACCAAGTAATCCGTGACCGAGGAGATGTCTCCTCCACGCCGACGCATCTCGGTCCCACTAAGCAGGGAGGTAAGCCGAATCCCTTGGGTGCCTCGCACTGACTATCGGAATGGCGTCTGAGATGGGACCTTGATTTTTGCTTCCGTAGACTTCTCGATCGAAAGTCGCCAGCCGTCATCAATCAGACATTGCATCATCGTGGTAAGCGCCCGCTGCGCGGAAGGGCTTATCGGTGCCAAGGCAGACATATTCCAGTGCGCTATCTTGAGATTGCGGGAGATTTCTCTTCCTTATCTTTGTTGAGTCTACCCGCAGAGAAAGAACGACGGAATGTCTGTTCCTCCTAGGACGTCATAGCACGTCGGACTAGTATCGCGCGAAGCCACTCTGTCCGTCAGGATCCCATCAGGAATCACGAGGACAAACCACCAGAGGGAAGTCCCCGCGATTTCCAGCCGCTCGACCAAGCGACCCGGTGACCGGAGAGGCAGCACCCGATCGACCGACTGACTAATCGTAACATTGATCGATCTGGCGATTGATTCCTCAATCGAAGATTGAGAAGTTCACGCACACACTGGCACAGGGTCCAAGCTCCATCACTGCTCGCCAACAGTAGCCGCACAAGACAATAACTCGAGGCTTCGTCCTCGAGTCGTCCGAGAGACGACTTCCGAGTCGAGTAGGCGAAGGCTCATGTCGGAGGAGTCGCCCCCTCGAGAGATTGTCAAACTTGAAATCCAATCGGATAGATATGACTTCGTTCTCTTTCGCGATATACCTCAACCTCGACTAGGTGGTCATGCCAGGGCTATCACCGCAGAGCCGTAGCCCGTGACCGTGATTGCGAGCATGCGCGACCAGGTCCCTCCGGTCGAGCCGGCAAAAATGATCGTCAACAACCTTCAACATCGAAATTAGGCGACTGACATGCTGCCTCTACGAGCGGGAACTCACGACTCACGATCTTCGAGCGATGAGGGCACGTCTCTGTAAGCGCGCAGTCGCTGTGTCTTGTCGGTATGGCCCGAGAGTCGCTTTTGTAAGCCATCCTCGTGACGTTGCGCTTCCCGGTCCGCCTCCCCTCCTTCACTCTCGTCGGCGCGTCGAAAGGTTTCCTCTGAACCGTGATATCGATAGTAGCGACAAAATAATTCCTCAACGACGACCGTGATCGAGTCGTCGTGTCCGTTTAACATCTAGCGAGATTGAGTGCTTCCGCTCGAAATTTCGGACAGGTATTATCTCCTGTCTTTTAGCTCTCAGACCTGCCCGATCTCACCTTCTCTCTAGCCTTAGGCTCGGACGCTTCGGACGATCGTCAAAAGAGCCGCGGCCCTGTGCTCATTCTCCGTCCCCGTCACAGGGGAAGCACGGGACATGCTCCAAGGAACTGGTCCGGATGTTCTGACCCCTGACGATTTCCATCAGCTGTATGTCCCTCAAAAAGTAAGGCGGTCGTGCCGTGGCAGAGCTGTACGTATCTATTCATTGTTGAACGCATACTGTCCTGAGAAGCAGAGTCATCCAACGGATTCGAATGCCTGTGATGACTCCCCAGCCGCAGGAGAGACTATCGGCCGAAGTAACGGTTACGGGCTGATTGAACCCTGTCTTCGAAGCCATCCGACAGATCGCTCGGTTCCGTTGATGACTTCTTCTTCATTGTCCCATGAGGGTTCCCTGATTCCTTGAAGTCGAGGGTATGATTCGTCCGGTCTTCTGGAGCCTTCAGAACAAGAGGCTTTCCTCATGCTTCAACGTTCCTGGGGTCGGTAATCTAGTCGGGTCGGCGCTGACTCATTTTCCCGACCTTCTTCCTTCTCCTTCTGGTTCTGTTTCCACTCATAATGATCAAGCCCTCGCTTCACTTTCTCGCGAATCATAGAGAAGAATTTCAGGATATTCCAAGAATTCGCGGAGGAGTTCGCTAAGTGGGTGAAGGTTTCGAGCGTGGAGTGGTGTGTATTGCAATCCTGGTCCCAAAATGAGTTGTGCTCCGATCATATTTGGAACGTCCGGCGCTCCGTCTCGTTTTTCCGCTTATCTGTCGAGTTCATGAAGTTTCCCGCTCGGGACTCAATTCTGTTCTTCATGATATCATGGTCGCGTGGTCGGTCCGCAGCTGTATCGCCGACTTGAATGATTGTCTATCTCCTTGAGAAAACGAATGAATATTCTGAATTAAATCCAACGTGCACTCACGACAGAGGCACATTTCCGTGCGGCATGCTTCTCCGAAAATAATCATGATCCAATGAATCGTCGGACGGATATCTGAATCCATGATCTTGAAGAATCACGCCGAGAAAAAAATTACGGGAGGAAGCTTAGCTCAACACCGGAGCAGGGTCAGGAGAGTACGATTCCAACTCGCCCACCTCGTCTCACGCCGTTGCATATGCGCGGAAGCCCCGAGCGCGAAGGAGACAATCAATAAGATGACACTGACAACCAAAACGTGAGTTCTACAGGCAAGCTCGAATAATGGAAAACTGAGAATGATCCAGGAGTCCGGCGACTTTTCAATACCGTGGAAGTTACCGGAGGCTTCTTGAGGCTG